GTAATAATGACGTAAAATTGTTAGGCGATCCGGATAAAATAGTAAATGACATGGCGAGTTATTTTGCAAATGCAGGTTCAACCCTTTTAAATAATCTAGATCTTAATTCCAGTTATCATCCTTCTAATATTAATTGTAACGAAAAATCGCTGTACGTCTATCCTACCACTGTAGAGGAGATCGCTAGTAAGTATTATAAATAATCTTAAAAACAAAAGAAGTAGTGGTTATGATGATGTATCAAACGTTATTATTAAAAGTTGTGCTTTTCAAATTGTCGCTCCCTTGGCACACATAATAAATAACTCTATAAAGTTTGGGATCTTTCCTGATAAGTTGAAGTTAGCCGAAATAATTCCGGTCTACAAAAAAGGAGATCCCAGTATCATTAGCAACTACAGGCCAATAAGCTTGCTATCTTCCTTTGCAAAAGTTATTGAAAAAGTAATGCATGCTAGAATAAAAAATTTCTTTATCAAGAATAAACTATTTAGCCCCGAACAACATGGCTTCCTGGAAGGAAGATCGACGGATACTGCGGTATTCCAGTTTTTGAGGAAAATAATCGACAGCTTAGAAAAAAAAGAAATAATCTTAGGGCTTTTTCTTGACTTATCGAAAGCATTTGATTGCTTAAATTACGACCTTTTTATCTTAAAACTAGAGAAATATGGAGTCAGGGGGCCAGCTCTTGCTTGGGTCAAGTCGTATCTGTCCAATAGATATCATAGGGTTGTTTTAGAAAAAGATAACACAAAACATGTTTCTCGAGCAAAGAAAGTTGTGATGGGAATTCCGCAGGGTAGTATAATTGGGCCTTTATTCTTTATAATATATATTAACGATTTGCATAAGGTACAAGACGGTAACAGCTGTGTCGTAAACTTTGCGGATGATACAAATTTGTTGGCCTGTGGAAAAGATTTCCCTTCAACGCTAAGAAAAGTAGAAGATCTCATGTGCCGAACAAACATCTGGTTCAGTAATAACAAATTAGTACTAAACAAAGACAAAACTGTGGCTGTTACATTCCAGACTAAGCAAAATTTAGAGCTACCAAATGTAATACAGGTTGGTGACACTGATATGAGGTTATCAAAATCTACCCGATTTTTGGGAATCGAAATAGACTCGACCTTGAGCTGGAAGGATCATGTAGAATATTTGTCAAAAAAACTTAATACAGTCCACTATTCTATCCGCGTACTAAAAACATACTTAGATAAAAAACAGTTGCTAATGATATATCATGCTAACTTCCATTCTCTTTTAAGATATGGAATAATATTTTGGGGTCAAAGTACAGAAATCAATAGAATATTTATTTTACAAAAAAATATTTTACGAACCATTTTCGACTTAAAGTTCAGGGAGTCATGCCGGGGAATTTTCAGGTACAACAATATCCTTACAGTGACAGGACAGTACGTCTACTCGCTATTAATATTTATGTATCAAAATCAAAATGATTTCGAAATTCCAAAAAAACAACAAAACTATAACACCCGAAACAACAATTTGATGTTTCCAAAGCACAGACTTACGCTGAGCGAAAAAAACTGTTATTATGCGGCAATTAAAATGTATAATCATCTCAGTGACCCAATAAAAAAAATACAAAAATTGAATATATTCAAAAAGGAGCTATGCAAAATGTTGGTGCAACTAGAGCCATACAACTTGGACGAATTTTATAATTGTAAATAATTAAAATAACTTATCATTTAAGTCAAAATTTGTGTTTTATATGTAGTTATCATTTCGTTTGTTAATTGTGTTATAAAAATGTCTTCGTTATATACTGCAAATTATACTTTGTCCTGTATGTTTATCGATGTTATTTTATTGTTATTTATTTATTTTATTTGACGTTTCTTGCCCTGTTTTATATAATGTACCTGTGCAAGAATAAAGATATTCTATTCTATTCTATTCTATTCTATTCTATTCTATTCTATTAATGATTTATCATGTTTCCGATAATCTTAAAATGTTTGCAAAGTTTCAGAGCATTCGGTTTTGGAATTTCAAAATTCTATTATAAAATGTTATAAAATTTTGATTTAAAATTTAAAAAATATTTACTATTGTAAAAGTTGGAGATGACGTCATGTCATTGTTGATCCCGTCCTAATATAGATACAAAATTTGACAACAATCGATCCGGTAGAGTAGCAGATTATCTGTTTAATAAAAATCAATACAGACCCGGACAGACGGAAATGAGACACCAATATTTTCGTATACTAGGGGTCATGAAACGTCGAGAAAATATAAAAGTAGCCAGTCGCCTACTACTTTTAATCAATTACAACACTTCCTTAGCTTACGATCGGGAAGCAAAAATGTCTTATGAAATGTGTATTTTATATTATCATTTGTCCAGCATAAGCTAAGGAAGTATAGTAGTCGATTCCACCGGGCGACTTGTCAGTTTTATGTTTTCTCGACGTTTCATGACCCCTAGAGTACGCAAAAAGTAGTATCTCGTTTCCGTCTGTCTGCTCTCTGTCTGTCCTTCTGTCTGTGTCGATTTTTATTGGACAGATAATCTCCAAAATTTCTGGACCGATTGTTGTCAAATTTTGTGTGTATATTAGGAACATCATATAGATAGTAAACCGCTAACCAAAATTTGGCTAAAGGATTCTAAATTAAATTGATTTAAATGTTATACAAAATATACAAAATATGCTGTAACATACACCTTGTAAAACTTTCACGACTTAAGCGGCTTAAGCCAAACCACCCTTATAAATCAAACTGGTTATTGTAAGCTTTGTGGACCCGAACGGCAAGTATTTTATTACTCCCCATTATTGCCATAATGGAGCTGTGAATTGAGTTAAGTTATACAATAGCCAGTTTGATTTATAAGGGTGCTTTGGCTTAAGCCGCTTAAGTCATAAAAGTGTTACAAGGTGTATGTCAAATGAGTCTACCGATAATCTTAAAATGTCTGCAAGATTTCAGAGCATTCGGTTTTCCAATTTAAAAGGCACTATTATAAAATGTTAGAGCAGCCGGCAGAATAGAAGATCACATGGGCGGAGCTTAGGCTGCGCGGCTTCAAGTCACCAGTGTCGTACCATACAGCATTTCATTAATTATTTTTTATTTATTTAATTAAATATGCGGTGGCGTACGAATCCGTTTTGGGTTGTCTTGCTCTGTGACTAGTATTATTATCTATGTTCATGCCGTCATCACAAATTTTTGTTATGGAGAAACTCACTCGAAACGTACACATAGCATGCTCCTTTTTCGGCCCGTTTTGCTCCATTGTAGCTTAATTAGTGAAATTTGTCCTCTCCTCTCTTTTGAGAAGACAAAAACAAATTTTATTTCGTTTTAACACAAATACTTGTCATTCAAACGCACTAATAGTGAATTGTTTCGACTAACCTTCGCCCAATTTTTTTCTACGTCGCACCTTTTTTTTCATTTTAAAATAAAAATTGAAATTTCAGAATTGTTGGGAATTTTGTCGTGATAAATGTCAGATTGTAACATTTGAAGTTTAATGTTCAGAATATTAAATTATTATTAATAATGTGTGAAGCTAAAGACAATCTTACAGCCCTCGAAAAATGGGAAATTTCTCAAAGTAGCAGCCATGTTTGAGCCCAGCACTGTCTAAAGCTAAATTTCTCCGGATGCTTCAGAGCTCAACGGGTGCAGTTATATGAATCATGTAGCAGTAAAACGATTAGCCATGAACGTAATTTTTATCAAAATATTGTGACATTTAATCTAAGTGCCGAAGACAAATCCAGTGTTACGATTAGTGTGTAAATTTGGAACGGAATTCTAATTACTCGTAGAAATATCATTTCGTTCTTCTGGCGTTTATTTTATTTGTTATTTAACAGTGACATATTTTATGATGACTACCAATCCTAAACACATGAATTACATCAGTTCTATTAAAAAACTCAATTTTTATCAAAGCACTCGATTTGGGTGCATTAATAGCTCGGTTGTGCCCGCACGAGTGGAAAAAAATGTATAAAGTTTAGTAGTGTTCGCAATTAATATAAAGAGTATAGCGAGATGTATGTACGTCAAAAAATGTCTACCCAAAATTAGCACTTTCATTTGTTTCGAATTAGTGAAGGCCTTTGGAGCTCAATGGAAAACCAATGTACATATCTACTTTACACACCGCTTTTGCAAATGTGAAGACAGCCGGAAGTAATATTTTTTATGATTTAAGAACACGTTATATCTAACATAATATATATTTAAATGACTTCTTGTATATGAAAGTGTTGAGTACTCAAAAAATACTGTATGATCCAAAATAGGGGGGCTGTGATTGACATATGTTAGCTTATCGTATTTCTTTCCAATTACTTAGCTCTCTGTCTATCATACCCTACGTTCTTTGATCAGGGCCTTCCTTTCATACTTTTGGTTCATGTGGTATAAATCCTTGTGTACCACCTGTCCTCATTTCATCAATTCTCTCCAAGCTAAATGTTAACAGTAGCAACACCCAAATCATTAGGCTTTTGGCTCCTTAATTTCACCTCCGCTAATTACAACGGAACTTAATGGAACCCAGACTACGTGCTTCAACTTCATAAGCGACTTTAACCGGACAATTTTTCAAATAATTCGACAATAAAACTTATCGCCGCATTGACATCCGATCCTCCTCCTTCCAATTATTATCCTTTCACGATTGAATCGTAAAAAGCAGAAAGCCATCAATCAACAGGTGCCATTACATAACTAATGATAGCCATCTCAATGTTCCTCGTTCACATCGAAATAATCGTTTTCTTAAAGCAGCTCGAACACCATCTGCACTCTTGTCACGGCCAATAATTGCACCCATACAAGGACCTCTGCGAAGGACAAAATTATTAGCAGACGTCCTGAACTTTACGAGTTAAATTTTCAGCGATGCGCTACGCTTGCGCTGCTTTTTCAGCTTGTGGGTGTGAGTTTATCAACCGCAGATGTTGGAAGGATCGTCAGTTCGTGGATAACAGCGTATGAAAGGATGTCGCTGAAAGGACACGAGCTTTTGTTGGCAGGACTCGAGTCGTGATCTCGCTTGCGTTCGCTCAATTAACGCTTGAATCGTGAATTTTTATTTTAGTTAGGAAAGTTTTTGTCTTCAGTGACTGTGATATTATTTTAAGTAGATTTATTTGTTTCGTTCGGAGTTTTTCATTTCGCCGGAATTTACCTAAAGTAAGTAGAATTTATTTTTTAAATTGTTTTCAGTGAAAAAACTTTGAACGGTTGTTGCACCACAGGTACTAAATTTTCGTCGTAGTACAAATAACATATGCTTAATTATCTTGGTTCTTGGTTATCAGTTGAAGCTGATAATTAATCATTTCACTTGTACGAACTGTGCGTAAGCACATACTAGTATCCAGAGTACATCAGTTTATTAAATAACAATTGTAGCGATATAAATGAACATTATCTGGACATATTAACGATTTTTTAGTTGTGATAAAAGTGGCAAGTTTGTTCGCGTAAACACAAACAAATAGGGAACATTTTCAATTAAATACTTTTTAGTTTCTACGACTTTTAAAGTTTCTTCCGCGTCGCACCATATATTTACAAAACCCTCACTTTCGTTCGGAAGGAAACGTCAATAAGAACTTTCCTGGACAATATTTTTGTGGTTTTACCTTGAAAAAAGTTTGCAGAATATTTCGAAAGTGTTTTTGTTTGTCCAAAGTCACTTTTAATGAAATTATAGGACAACAGATTAAGAAGAAAGTTTAGAAAGTTGCAAGTTTTTTGTAATAATATTTTAATGCAAATTTATAGTAAAAATAAAAATAATCAAAACTTTGTCTAAAACTTAAGTGTTCTCACTGTTCCCAAATCAGAACCCAGCATAATATGATAACACCTTTCCTTCGTTTATTTTTATGAGGTGATATTTCACTAATCCATACCGGGATAATTACTGCAACTGCGATAAAACCCATTTTGTGAACTAGATTTAACGGTATATTTTTACACTAAAATTTAAATCTTATTATATAATTAACGTGGTTTGATTATAATAAACGAAGTATAGTAGTATCCAACACATGATGCTTAGAAATTTAAAAGTCGACAGGTTGTATCAGAGAAATAAAAATATCAGAAAAGAAGAAAGCACGACAATAAGACATTTTTTAAAAATTATTGTACAGGTTTGAAAAATTTTGCAAGTTAAAACGTGCAAAATAAATAAACAAAATTTATATAATTGCGTTCAATAGTAATAATTAAGAACCTATACGTTGGAATAAGGCTTCAGGATCTTAAACTACAAAAATAGTGATCATAATACAGCATTTACGATATACTTACATAACAAAATATTTTTTTCTCCAAAGTTGTCATAAATAAGTCCCCGCCAAATGTCTAACATGATTAATGTTCTCAAACTCAGCAACTTAAACCCACATTTTACAACAAATCGTGAGCAATACCGCTGAAACTGATAAAAAGATAATCAATCGAATGACACAATCTATCACCAGTCGAGGATTTTCTTTAATGAAAAAGCATCATCTGACCTAAAAGCTTCATATGCGCGTTCAATCCAGGATAACAATAAACAGTTGATCAACCTAAAAGGTGAATTGTTTTCAGAAGCACCTTTCAGTGAATTAACCACTAGGGGAAAGTTTGAAGCCATTCGTTTTTATATGGTAACCGCACGTGCAAATTTAATTCATTGAGCGCTTACTGCCAAATTTGTTCAAGTTCACACGTGCAAAACAGAAAACACAACAAAAATGGTAAGGTAAAGGTTGTGGACACATTTTTGCTAGTGACCTTGTTTCGCAAGTTATGAGACGATTTTATGGGCTAAGACGTTTGCTTTCAACATGATATTGTTATTAGATGTTTATTTTGTAGGAGTAATAAATAGCGGGTGATAATTTTTTAATAGCCTTAATAATATACGTCGTGCTGTATCTCGGATTTCCTCAAATTGTATTTGGTAGTTATGAAAATAATAGAAAACCTTCTATTTTTGTGAAGTACAATAAAGCAGATAGAATATAATAAGTAATTAACTAATTAGACATCGATTTGAATCATAAAACGTAAAAGAGATGCAGATGAAGAGCTTGTTGGCATAACCAAATCTTAACATTTTTTTTTATAAAGTAGTACTGCCTAGGTATAGTATAGTACTGTGTGTAGTGTATGGTTGTTATGAGAGCAATTAAAATCAGGCTTAAATGCTCAAATTTTTGCAAAGTTTAGTCTAGTAAATACAATTTTTTCAAAACATTAACACCTTCAGTAAACATCATTATGGCATCTTCAAAACTTGCAAAGGGACTTATTCGATGGGAATTATTTTGCCAAAATTCTGTCTGAAATTTTTTTTTACTCAGGGACCTGTATTTAACAAAATTTACGTTATTAATTATTTCAGGGAGCCATTAATTTTTCTGAAATGTGAAAATTACAGTTACATATTTACAATTAGTGTTACATTGTACTTATCAAAATTAATATAGTCGACAATGTTATTTCAATAAGTTATTTAGTAAAACTAAACTTATGCTGTTCTTAATTGTCACCTGACTAATGATAACAGATTCTGCTCGTTAAAAAAATGAACATTTAGAGTACATAATTTTCAAAATACAATAAATTTGCTTTCAGAATAGTCAAAGATTTATCAAAACAAATTTAGTTTTTATTCCAAAAAATGAAGAATATCATTATTAAAAGACATACTTATTAAATAGAGAACTTCAGAACAGTTATGTTTTTGTTTCACAGTTTAATAATAAGAAGTCTAGCAAGTATTTATTGCTGTATACATACACAATCTAAGAAAATAACATAATACTTTACTAAGTTTTTCTACAGCGAAATCCTCGCTACTGAAGTAGAGTAATAATATCGGCATTAAAACAGCATTACCTTAGATGTAGAAACTGTATTTAACTGTTTTTGTTACTAGTGTATAATTGAATGTCTTCCGAGAACTTTCTACTACAAAACTTTGTGTCTACGAATGCAACTCAAATAATACTGTCTCAAGTATTATCTAACAGTAATCTTTGTTTATAGTTAGTTGTGTTTTTAAAACTTAATTTATGTTAATGGTGTAAAATAACAGATTGTTTTGTTCACGTCTGTGTTAGCGAGTGAAGAATATACAGAGTGTCTCAGAAAAAATTTCGCGGCCTTGTCCCTTGAGAACTGATAGAGATATTGAAATTCTGTAAACTCCATTGTTTTTAGCTTGAAGGGGAAGCTTAATTTTGTACATTGTAAATATTATGTATAACGTATATGTTTTAACGTACTTATTTTCATAGATAATTAAATTACGATTACAGTCATGTAAAACACGTTTGTCTTGAACTAGTTTTAACTATAAAAAATATAAAGTTTCTAAATGAAGAAACATTATCGAATTGCCATTTAATGTCATGGAATCCGATGTGCAGACCGTTACATTATTGCTATTAATTTTTGAGCTACTTCAATACTTCTCTGTTGCCTGTCGAATATGGATCAATTTTTTGTTCTAAAAAACATTTATTATGAAAACTGGATTGGTAACAGAAAGCCCACTTGATGACCAGCTCGCGGATTAGATTTAAGGTCCTTCAATTTATTATTGTGACGATACATAACACGTTTGACGTATTTTTAAACCGTGCCTGATTTAGATGATTAAAAAACGAAATTGGGAATGTTTGAGCCTTTTTAACGCCCAATACGTTATTAATCGCGAACTAATAAGAAGTTTTGTATTCACTGTGAAGAACGACAGTTCGAAGATATGCTTAAATGACTGTTTTTAACACAGATTTTATTATTTTTTTGTAAAAATAAAACGACAGTACTTTATTTCACTCTAGTTATTTTTTTATATGTATAAATTTTATTTTTTTCCTCGACTAAAATACCTAAATGTTGAATATCACTGTAATCTTACTTTAATGTTTTGCCAAAATCTGTTAAAATATATATATTGCAATTAAAAAAACGCCAACTTCCGTGTGGGTCATCTATATATTTTTCTTAATGAAGTAGAGAAGTATATAGATATATTTAATTTAATAGCACAATAGTTATGTACACAAATAAAGCATTGTCAATATACCCAAATTCAAGGATTTTTGTTTAAATGATGATTATAACTTTTGAATAAAATTCGTTAAATACTATTAATTGTACTACTGTGGACTTAAAAGTCTAATTCCATAATACATGAACACATAATTTAAATATACGACAACCAGCCAAAAAATTGGTCTAAAAATTTTAATAGATAGGTACTATTTACCTGGTTTCCTGAAGCAGCAGCTGAATTTTGAAATTTAGATAATAATACATTTGAGATTCAGACAAAACGGATTTATTCAAGGTCGTCATTATTGTTACGAAGTAAAGAGCGAACCTTTTGCCCATCTACTTATTATGAAATAAAAGTTTTTTTTTAATTTTCAGATTCACTATTTGATTTTAATGAATTAAGAATGCAAAAATTATTGTTTTCTTTATTCACAAACTAAATTTATTGGATTCTTGATTGATCAGTTAACGTTAAATTTACTCTAAATTACTGTTAAAAAAATTTACACTGATGTTGAATCCCAAAACGGACAAAGTACAAATTTAAAAAAAATGTTTGGATATATTTGACTGACTCCATATTTTTATTTTACGCTGTACATTTCTTTTTCTACTTAATTAAAGTAAAAATACTTAAGAACGTCTATTTATAGCCTTTTATTTTTTTTATATAAAAACTCATGCGTTTAAATTTCAAAAAATAACGGTGAATTACTAAACCAGAGAAAGCTGTTTCGACAGAACTTCCCTCGCACCTAAAGTACAGTGAAACATATTCAGCATTTTTGAGTTGAGTTTTTACTTTACAGAATTTTGTGATGACGATGACATTATCAACATTTTTGCAAGGACACTTATATCAACATATATATTGATGCACTGTAATACTAAAAATAATAGTATTGTATTTCCAAAATTTTCTGGGAAAATGGAATGAGCCGTTCCTGATTTAATCAATAAAATAATTTGACACATTCATTAATTTTTTGAGCCACCTATATAAGCAAATCTAAAAAATATGAATGCAGTGATAAATCACAAGTAAAAACTCATCATATTTTGCATATTTCGGGTAGACTTAGGAATTTAACGCGTTACAATGGAAATTTGCAATTTAACAC